CCATTTAACTAACCATCTCGACGACGATTCTGGGCCGCGCGTGGCACACTCACCTTGATGATCAGCTCAATCTCCGGCACGTCGCCGTTGCTGGTGCCGTTCTCGTGGCTGTCGTCCGCCATCTCGAGGTGGTATCGTACGCGGCGTAGGAAGAAGGCACTTTTGTCTCGTGGCGTTTCTCAGCGGCGACGGCTGCAGGCGGCGGCGGCGGCGGCGGCGATGACGACGGCGACTCCCTCCCCACCGGTGATCCGAGAGAGCAAATCTCGGGCGAACAAAACGAGACGAACTGAGCGCGACGGAAGCTCGCGGAACACTGACGCAGCGCGCGTCGCGCCACGTTCACGCCACTGGCGCCGCCTACAGTGCGCCCCTCGAGTCAGCGCCCACGTGACGGCGCGACGAACGCGCGCGAAAATTCAAAAGAGCTCTCGCGCTCCCGCCGCGACGCGAAAGCTTCACGAGAGTTTTGTGGAAGATGTATGAATATGAAGTTTCTCTGGGACGTCCCTGGGACTATTTTAGACTTCCGTGTTGCGTCGGCACGCCTTTGTCTCGTGACATTCTCTATCATATAATCCTGATACGTTTATTTTATCGAGAATAAACACGAGAAAAATCGAGCAATCGAAAAAAATAACACTGTATGTAAAGATACATGTTATTTAGTTTAACAGTTAACATGTTTAACAGTTTTACATGTTTAACAGTTAGAGAAACAATTTTCTGCGAACTCAAGAAAGTTCCATCGCGGTTCTTAAATGCTTTGTTCTTAAATGTTCGATAATATGTTTTTAAATGGACTATAATATTCTTCTTGGCGATTTGTTTTAGAACGCGGCGGAATATTCCGCGCCAATTTTCAAAGTATCTTACGAGAGTTCTGCCACTGATATTTCTTATACTCATTTTTTCTTTATATAATGTAATTTTTTTTTAATTTTTCCGAAAAATTTATATTTTTTTAGTAAACTGCGATATGGTTCTTGAACAGCGTAAAGAAAGTAAATATTCTCTTACCATTCTTGTCAGTGTTTTGCCATGAAGACACTACTTATAATAATGACAATAGTTGACCTCAAAAATGCCATTACTTGCAATTGTACAATAAAAGTAACAGTAAAATTCCAAAGAAATTGATATGGTAAGATCAGTGTTTAGCTGTTAAAGACTTCAGACATTGACAGAGTGTTTTGTTCCTAAACGACTTCTTGACTGCAAAAACAATAGCATTGTGACAACAGTCGCGTAACTTTTTAATGTTACTTCGGAATCTAATGCTCCGATTTCAATCAAGGAGAGTACATGGAACGTACAATGTCTCAGTTGTAATAATCGTACAGTATATTCTTAGCCACAATTCTTAAACAATATAGCAACAATAAGACATCGTTTCATATGTACATAATTAATAGTTCGCATTATACAGCGATAAACATGAGCTGTTTTAAAGCTTCACGTTACATTGATTAGATCGCGATACGTAATCGTGAAATCTACAGCTAGAACCTCTCATGCTCCTACAATTAAATTGTTTTTGTGTTTCTTATTTCTTCCTTCCGATTATATTCTCATTATATTCTCATTATCTCTCAGAGATGCGAAGTAAGAGGGTATCGACAAAGGAGAATATGCGGACTGTGCAAATTCAATCGACCGACTAACAACGAACTACGCGCTCTTATTATTAGTGATTCCTAACGCTACGACGGTTAGTGCTCCATTTTTGTCGCCTACTAGCTCACTTCCAACGTAGGCGATGATGCGACGAGCTTCGATTAAACTAGGCCAACTATAAAGTATATATCGTGAATTTCTCTTAATCATAACCTTGGATATTTCTTTCGATCGTAACCTCTTTGAAGGAAATTGTCAGACTCGTTCACCATTATTTCTCGACACGCGGCTCGATTGTTACGGAACCAACAGTTATTATAATACCCATTAATTTTTGCTTGTCTCCGGTATTTCGTTAAAAAATATGAAGGATGCAAGCATACCATCGACACAAGATTCGCGATAAGATAGAACAATCTGTTTAAGTATACATATATGTGTGTGTATATATATATATATATATATGTGTATATATATATATATGTGTATATATATATATATATATATATATATATATATATATATATATATATATATATCTATATCTATAAATATATATATAACAAATATTTTCAGCTAAAATTACATGGGCCTCAATTAAAATATATTTTTTCGTTCTAACGGTCAGCTTGAGATCCCGTTCAACTAACTCATCGCTAAACAACAACATAACGCCTTACCGCGCGTTATTCGGATTGGACCCCGCGGATTCTAAAGCAGCGGATAGAATAGTGCAGATCATCAGCGAGCGTAAGGGATCATACGCTTATAAAATTAATCCATATATGGAATACCATAAATATCGAACATCATCATAAATATACGAGTAAAATAATATTAATAATTGACTAATTTTGGTTTTGCACGGACGTAATTCCTAATTGCTCTATCCGTTAGTTGGTTTCTCATTACACCGCATCGCGGAATACCGTCGTAGTGCGCGCCTCCTCCGCTCCTCGATCGACGAGCGTTTAGTTTCGTAGCGGGTCCAAGCTCTCCAAGGAGAAGTCATCGGTTCCGATGCACAGCCCTCTGCTGAAACCGTCCTGAAAATTTCAAACGTCTCACCATCCGCTCTCGCAGGCGACAGAGGCAAATTGAACATATTAGATCGTGGTTCATACCTTCATCTCAAGCAGCCTCTTATCCAACAGGCCGATAGCGTTTTCCAGCTCTTGCTGGCTAGTATTAGACATCACGGTCGACGCTCCGAACTCTCCCATCTCGAACGGATCCTTGAAGTCATTCTTGATATTCAGAGTCGGCGTGGGATTGAATGGAATGCTACCGAACAGATCCTCCTTGACTCCGTTCTGACGTCTCGAGTCTTTCGTCTTTGGTGGTGGTGCCACTAAAAGGAAGAAAAGGAAACGGTCATAACGTGGAGCAAAGTAATCACGATCGCCGCGGGTATTGAGTGCGCTTACATAAAGGCGGGGGGCTGGTTGTGCCATTGGACTGTGAGAAGAAATTGGTTCCCGAAGATATTTGACCGTTGAGGAGCGGGTTGTTGTTCGACTGGTGATTGGCAAGGCCGTTGGCCGCGGTTTCGTAAGCTCTCGGATTGAAGTCTTCCTCAAATTCATCCATTAACAAACCTTCTAGTTTTGTACCAACGGACGGCATAGGCGGCTCACTGCACGACGTAAAGGAGAGTTGAATAAAAATGCATCAATGAGGACTTACAACGAAAATCCTTGCAATTGCAATCACGACCGTACTTTATAAAGTCGTCATCGAAGCTTTTCTCGAAACTCCTCGGCGGAACAGGCGGCGGTTGCTGAGGTCCGTTTGACGTATTCCCGTTGCTGTCGCTGCTCGTGTTCAACAGTGACTTGGTAGTCGCGCCATTGATTTGCGGCGAATCTGTCGGGGCTCCAGGTACGTGAAGTATATCCGGCAGATTGTGCTGCGACAGATACGTCGACACGTCCGCCTGTAAACGACATAAGAAGTGTTTAGTATGCCTTCTCTACGTGCAGTCAAACATAGCATAAAAACTGTATAAAAAATAACTAGAACAACAGTCTGATAAAATAATGTTATAAATGTATAAGATACATTTTCCATTTTTAGAGTTCTATATATTTTTCATTTACACATTTTTGTATCATCGAACTAACCGAGCCTTTGATGGTCGCGATATCTTGCAGCCGTTGCCGATAAACGTTGTTCTCATGTTCCAGTCGCTTTATTTTTTGCTGCAGCACCATGCAACGTCGTTGCGTCTCCAGATCCTTGCCGGATGTTTCCAGGAATCGCCTATACGCCAAATCGAACGCCTGGCCAATTGTGAGCGTAATCTCTTCGGCTAATTTGTCACTGACAAAGACGAAGCACGTGTGCCTTTCCGCGTCCTCCTCTTTCGCAATGAAACTGAAGAATTTCTTCTCCCCTTTGTCGTCGGCACAATACGAAATTCTGTGCAGTGGATACTGATGCATGATCCGCTGCAAAAGAGGCAAATACAATTCGCAAAAATAGCCACCAGTAAAGAGAAAAAAGTGAAAAGAGAATTAAACGTCGCCAGTATTTAAGGGATTACTCCACTCTAGCGCTCGAAAATTAAGCGTATTTTTGAACATTTTTTGTGGACAAACAAAGAAATAAATCAGAAATCCGTTTGGAAGGCTTTATTGTACATGTTTTAAAGTGTATATTCAAATTTTTATGTTAACATATATTACAAAATGACGGAACTAGAGCCTCGTCAACATGAACGTGTTTTTCAGAACGGGGCTCCGGGGCTAAGTGTCGCAAATGTTAATTTAGGACAAAAAACCAAAATTTTCCGTAATCTGTATGCCAATAACTAGAAAAGTACGCGCATAGGTGATTTTAAAAATATTAATTTTTATAAAAATGGCACGCATTTGAAGAAAAAGTTTCATTTTGTACCATAAAAATTTTTTATAAAATCGAAAATTGTCGAAAATTGTCGAAAATTGTTTATAAAATGCGTAATTTTCAATATATCAAAAATCCCCTACGTACTTCTATTGGCATGTACAGAACGGAAAATTTCAGTTTTTTCTTCTAGATCAACATTTACCACACTTATGCAAACCCCCGAGCCTCTCATGTTGATAAGGCTCTAGCGCCGCCATTTTGTAATATATGTTAACATAAAAATTTGAATATATACTTTAAAAAATGTACAATAAAGCCTTCCAAACGGATTTTCGATTAATTTCTTTGTTTGCTCACAAAAAATTCTGCAAAAATACGCTTAATTTTCGGACGCTACTCTCTTGAAGTGAATCAGTGAATAGTCACTGATATCAGTTATAAGTATAGTACTCAGCACTTTCAGTGCTATACTTATAACTGCAAATTAATGTATATTCACTGCTTTCAGTGATATTTAACTGATTCATTTTAAGAGAGTAAAAATGAACAGATATTGTGTGCAAAAATAATCGAGTTAGGACGTAGAAATTCGTGACCACCTTAGGCGTCGTTTTCGTTTTTGGTTCTTGTATCGCCACGCCATCAATGCTTATGGTGAGCTCGACCTTAGGAGTTTTCGTGCCCTCGCTCTTCTTGAGCTGCTGATTGAACTTTAGCTTGCAAATCGCCTCCTTAACGACATCGATGCCTTTGGGTTGATCCACCTCTGTACTGCCCAAATACTAAAACGGCAAATCAAAAGGAAAGGTGATGAAAGAGAAAGAGAGGGGGCGAAAAAATTCAGGCGAGCTCAGTGGAATTTTTCTCTTCCGCGTGCGCGCATTTATCGCACACAAAGGGGAAGGTGAGCCACCAGGGGACGCGCGAGAGCGTGGGAAACGTTCGTAATTTTGTTTCCAGGCGTACGCAGAACGTGACACGAATAAACCTCTTCACTGTTGATGACGCGTGCTTTTTTTCCAGTGCATTCCCCGTCGCGTTTTGCATATCTGTGCGCAAATCGGCGCAAATATCCCGCGTAATTCCGCACGGCGATAAGGTCGCGACACCTCTCTTGCTTCACGTCTCCGAGAGAGAAAAGTTGTTTCTCGCCCGCGAATGCAATGAGCCCGGATTACACGCTAAAAACGCGCGAATCGGAGATGCGCGCCGAAATCGCGCGGCGACGCGAGAACGTTAAAAGGATGCTGGAGTCGATGACGAACTCGAACAATGTCGATAATGCAGAAACGATCGTCACTAACATAATTACGCTATCCTTTTCGTATTTCTTGTAAGGTAAACGTCCCAGTGGTCGAACATACATGTCCCAATGATTGACGTATTGGTTTTGTATTTTTCTTTGTTGGAATGCTTTTTAATATACAAAACAATATAATAAATGAAAAGAAATATTTAGTTACTTTGTGATTTTGTTTCATCTATTGATAAGCATCTTAACAAACACAAATATATTATTATTAATTCAATTAACACGTTCAATCACTAGGACCTTTATCTTATATACAGAATTTACATGAATGTGTGTTGCTTTGTTTTAACGGCTTAAAAATATCGAAAAAGTTTTCTACACATATATGGTTAGGTTTTCCGTTCA